GATTGTGCCCTGGAGGGGTTGTCAATTTGGGTTGCAATTGGGGTTGGATGTTCACTTTTAAGGTCTACTATATGCTTTCTTTTTAAATTGCTATTTTGGTAGGGATTCGACAGTTCCGTTTGTCGATCTCTCTCTCTCTCTCTTACTATCTCTCATTCTGTCTCTCTTTGTCTCCCTCTCTCCCGCTCTCTCTCTCTCAAATTATAAACACCATCCCAAATTTCCCTCGTCGTCAGCATCTTCATAACCAATTCCATAATTTCTTCTGCAATTTCCGAACCTGCTGCGAAACTCCCCAAATTTATTTCTGGTACTCCTTCGGCCCAAACACGCAACCGTAAATCGAATTCCTCCAGACGGACCCCCATCCAAACTTAACGTCAGAATCGAAAAATCTGATGAGAGAGAGGGAGAGAGAGACAGAGAGAGAGAGAGAAGCATCATTTCGTGCCATATCTCCCGCTCCCCTCTCGGCTTCCGAATTAGCCCGAATTCATCTCGGGATCAACCTGTTTACCCATTTCCAACTTACCTCATGTCCGTCAGACCGTGGAGTCTTCAGAATTCAGAATTCAGAAATTCTTGGACCACTGCTTTCTGAATTGCGACAAATTTACGGCGTCACCAGACCTGTTTTCAGCCCCAGATTTGAAAGCACCCGGTTCCGCTCGAATAAGTTCGCAAGTATTAAAAGGCCATCTCCGCCCAGCACGCTAACTAATCCGACTTCATCAATTAGCATAGTTTCTCGGGCTGGGTTCCCTTGATTTTCAGATCATTAGCCGTCGTTTATCTCCTATAGTAAGGTTTTGATGAAAAAGACCATCCCGATCACCCAGCCGGAAGAAAACACCGAGGAACATCTGCGCTAATTTCAAAATTGAATCAAAAACCTAGAGAAACTGATCGTCTTATGAAATTACAGCCCTATTGTGTCGGGCCCAGGTTATATTTTTGGAAAACTGAATGGAATCCAAAACCTAAGCAATTTATGATTTTCACGGGAGCCTAATGGCATTCTTAGGCGCTATTTTTTTGTGGCGGTCGTGGCATTCAAATCAGCGCTTGCTCCCAATGGCCATTAATTGCATTTGCATTAGGGACAGGCTTTGAAGAAGCCGGTGTGCTCTTGTGGGTGGGGTGTTTATTGTAAAGTCGCGTCGTTCGCGGTGTGCACCTAACGCCAATGGTATATTTAATGGGAAAATAGTGAGTTTTTCTGGCATAAAGTAGCTTCTGTAGAACGAGATCAGGCCGACAAAATCTGTTTTGAAGGGATACGGAAGTCAAAGAAAATGCATACCTCCTTTGAATTCCGGACTTTTTGGTTGTTTTACACCCTGCAACATGCTCTCGCCTTTTTTTGCACGCTCCCTTCCTGCGAATCGATCAATCGACCCCCTTGTCACCCATTACCGTAATCCAATTCCGGTCTCACCTCCCCCCAAGTGACACAATGCCATCCACCAGGTCGTCCGTCTGTTTGCCAATCCCCTTTTACGGGCCGCCCCTCGATAACTCTCCCAAAATTCGATTAACAGACTTGAGCACGAGTATACGGTACCTGTCCCCAGATGTCTCTCGATGACACGCCAAACGCGGATATGCGACGCGCACGGCCTAATGGCGTTATTTGGGATGAAGCCCCGTATGCTGTGTGGCGGGGAGAGGAAAAGGCAAATTTGCCATTGTGAAGCCATAATTGGGGATATATGGGCTGTTATTGTGCTTTTGATAGAGCGGGAAATGGGTCTTTTGGTTGGGCCGGGATAGACTGGGTCGTGCTTATATATAGTAGTATAATAATCAGTGATGCCTATGAGCTTTGAAATACACAACGTTAAGAGATCTCGATACGTAGGATTTCGTAAGAGTACGGTATCACAAATTTGAGCCCAAACCCTCGACTTAAGCGGCTTCCCCCCACCCATACAAAGCGCTGTAAGCTGTTGTCAAACGTTATCAGCTATTTCGTCGCTCGCTCTCACTCTCTAAATGGTGATGACCGGGGTGGGATCGTGTTATAACCTCCCGCGCTAGAATCGAGGCCCCGCCCCCCTGTTGGACGGCGAGAAATCGGCCGGCCAATTAGCCTCGAGGCCCTGCCCCAATATAGACACCACCAATACACTAGCACACGCCCCCCTGACTTGATTCACAATGCACACTCGCTATTTGGGCGTGGTGCACTGTAGGCTGGGCGCTTTTTAGAAATTCCTTAATCCTGAATTAAAGCTGAATTTTGTTAAATATGTAATTAATTGCTTCGTTTTTTAAGACTACGGTATTTGTCCGGATGTCTCGTACTCTCCTTCTCCCCCTCTCCCCTTCTCTCGTTCTCTCTTTCTCTCTCTCTCTCTCTCTCTCTCTCTCTCTCTCTCTCTCTCTCTCTCTATTTCTATCTCTCACTTTCCTTTTCAAAATCCCGACTCTCATAATTTTCCGTCCAACCCGTCCACCGTAATCTCGTAATCGAAACGGAAAAAAAAAAAAAAACGTAAACGGAATCGTAACGATCAGTTCTTCTCATTACCTGCCCAATTCCATCAGACCATAATCCATCCCATTATACCCATCAGGCACACTATACCGTGCTCTCGCCTCTCATTTTCCAGCTTCTGTCATACGATATATTCCCCCGGGCCCTCCCGTAATTGTTTTCACTATAAATGGCCACAAAACGGCTGATTGGGGAGGGCGCGATTTCCGATCAGGCAACTCATCAGTATCGCACAAAAAATAACGCGGGTATTGTCAACATACCGTAGTTTTTTGGGCGAGCTCATTTTTGATCGGCGAAACGCCAAAAAGTGCGAGTTCGGGTTACGGTAGTTTTATAAAGGTACTACTACGATAAATTTCTAGCAGCGTTATTTGGTAAAAATCGGACTTGATATTGAGGCGTAAGGGCATCCATATTTAACCATGTTAATTCGATACGTCGTTTTTGCTTTCACGACTTCATGAAAATCCTACAGACTCGCACTACTCACATTAACTAATCACGTGTGCCCGTCGAAATCCGATTCGTCAGAGCTCTTTCTCTGTCTGTCTGTCTGTCTGTCGGTCTGTCTCTTTGTGTGTCTCCCTCACTATTCGGTGGCCCGTGTCAACTAATAATAATTTGCTGCTGCCCGCTTGAAAGCGGCGCACCCTCGAATTTCCCAATTTCGAGCCCTCAAAGCCTCATATTTTCTCGTGCTTATTAAGTTTTCCGGCGGTGGTGGCCAACCAACAATTAATTGTACTTTTCGGCGCGTTGTTATTTTTAGGGGGTGTTTTGAGACGTAATGGGGGCGATCAGGTTCAGGGAAATTTTTCGGATTTGTTTGTGGATTTTGCGATTAAACGCATTTAGCAGTTAGACAACGTTGTAATTTGTTGTTTAGCGTAGCTAGCCAGCCTGGCAAACATACTACTACTATGTTCCGGAAGTATCATAATCCTGAAAAAGTTTAAGCGGTGTTTTGAGTAGTCTAAAAATACCTTAATTTGTGGCGTAGCGTAGTTACCTAGAAATTTTGGTACAATAATGGTACCACCGAGTCTTGCAAAATCAGGTTTCAAATTGGGTCTTTCGTACTTTTCCAGGCAATTTTCCAAAATGCCTGAATTTCACACACACTTCTGGTGACAGTACCCGTCAACAACCCCCATCCCTCATTCAAATTCAATTTCCAAAGTAATAATATTCATAATACGAAAATCCCACCGCTAATTCGATTAGCTTGGCCGCGAAAACAAAGTCTACCACCCCCCCAACCCCTGTCGTAGGCGCGAATTTTTCTTGTTTTCCCCTCCTATTCGCGGGCTAACCCACACTGGATGGAATATTATTACACGCCCTAATATTCGTTCTTGTTTTTGCGCCAATCTTCCCGCAAATTAGGCAATTTACCCCTTACCCGCCGCGGCCACAGGTGATTCCTGTTTTGGGTGTGCCCAGTCCGGGCTTAAATGGGGGATTTTCCGGGGTTTTTATACCCCTTCCGAAATCCACGCAATTTCCTTTGAGGGCTGAAGCGGAAGTGTGTGAAGAGGAGCTTGACGTATGTAGGTGTGTTTTGCTTGAAATTTGCGGTTAATTCTCGAATTTGTAAGCCTCGACGTTTTAACGGGGCATGGAAGGCTTGAAGTGGGCCAGCCGCTTGAGTGCTCGAACCTTTTTTGTTGCTCAAACTTATGGGTGTTCGGACATTGAATTATGGAGATTTTTGCGACCTGAAGCAAAGTGCCTTGACCGGCTTAGGATACTGTAATATGACGTTCTCCCGGGGGATACCTTTCAAGTTCCTTTAATTCCGCTTAACTCCTTCTCTCTGCCGCTCCCGGAAACGTGATTTGTTTTCCAATTTCCATTAGCGCAATTCCCCCCATTCACTTACTGTCTATTTTCACCGTCTTCCAGAATTAGTTGAACGGAGCAACCCCTAAGGGGCACTTAACGCGATGATTTTGGGCCCCAGTACCAACGATTTTCGGGATCCACCCTCACTGCACATACGCACGAAGTGACTGATCCCTCCGGATTGGCCGGGATTTCAGATTTAACATGTTGACCCCTCAATAAATATGATTTGACTAAAAAGGTCCTGCCCCCAGCGCTCGGCTGATCCGTGGAAAAGTTGTGCTATTCCGGGAGAGAGAGAGTGAGAGAGAGAGAGAATGACAGAAACCGGGATGGAAATAGGTGGAGGATAATCTGTGTCTTTCTCTCTCTCTCTCTCCCATCGGGCCACACCCCCATCCACACCTGATTACGGCCCATTTAGCGCTTATTAGGCAGCGAGCAGGGGGGGGGGGCTCTTCTTGGCTTTACCCCCACACCTTCCAACGGATACTCAGAGATCAGCTGGTCCTGTTGTCCTCCCTGGGGTGCAAATGTTGCAGAATGGAATTTGGGATACTGTAGTTTTTTTCGTACTACGCTTCGATACCTTCTTGTTTCTCTTTTTGTGTACTGAAATTTATCTAAGTTTTTCCAGTCCTCCGGTCACCGTATGCCCGACGCAAATCAACCGCTCAAAGACGAAGACAGAGAAGAAAAGAAAAAAGACGAGTCGGTCTTCAGAAATTTTACGGGACGCTGCTGCGCGCTCAAATGGATGGACTTTTCATAATTTTACTTTCAGTAGCGAGGACGATAAGCCCGAGCTGACCCTGCCGATGATGATGAACATTCAGCAACTCCTCTTCAAAAACCTCCAACACTCCGAATTCTTGATGCACCAGCAGAAGCTCGCACAGGCCCAGGTAGGAATTTTGCCCTTTCCTGGCCCCGGCATTTTCCGGGACTATAATCTAACCCGCCTTATACTGAAAACTGACTTCCCAGACAATGAAATCCCCGCGGCTAAACATGTCACTTTTAATTTTCCCGAAATTCCTGAAAGTAAAACACCTTTCCTAATCTCACGCGAGCGCGGATCATTTTGTCATCAAACGGCCAAAAATAGGGAATGTAGACTCCAGAAAAGTCGACTCGGGCCTGCCCGAAAAAAAGGTGGAGAAAATATTTAGGAAAAATCCGGTGGGGCGGTGGCTGATCTGGGATCAGGGCTTTGTGACATGCGTATGTGGCCGTCAGGGGGGTTTACCTAGATCCCCTCCCACTGCCACCCCCAAAATCACCATCTATACTGGCTGAGCCGGCAAATGAGAGGGGGCGGGGTGTTTTGTTTGCAGTTATTTTGAGGATTTAGAGAAATTGGGGCCCTCATTTCAGCTAGGCCGCACTTGTTTTAGGCCTGAAGTCTAAGCGTTTTTAGTTTTGGGCGGCGTTCAAAGAGTATATTTAACGGTGTACGGACCATTTTGGATTTCTGGCATGCTGCCAAGAATCTAAGCCCACCCATAACTGTATTTTCACAGTTCCAGCTCCAAATTGTTCCTCCGCTATTCCCGATGACACGACCTCACGCTCCCCACCCATTCTCCATCGCAAATCTCACCTCCAACCTGAGACCCGAGGAACCGACAGCGGTAGGTGTGGCGCTCGATTTTTAGACCTTTCAGCTGGCAGCCTGGACTTACAGTTATTTCAGAACGAGCAACCAAAAGAAGAAGCAGCTGAGGTGGTGCCGGTGCCGCTTGGTCTGCACGAGCCACGACCGGGGATGAGCGATGCTGTACGCGGGGATACACTCGACGGCTCGCCGGACGGGAGCGCTAGTCCTGATGAGAATGGAAAGCGCAAGCAGAGGAGGTTAGTGGGAAATTGTGGCTTTATTGAGGGTCTAAAGGCGCTTCGACATTTCTCGATGTCCATATCCTTCTGGCGCTCACTTTATCTCTTTCATTCTATCCTTCTCACTCACTCTCTATCTCCCTCTCTCGCTTAAAAACGCTGAAAAAAATTTTGGCTAGACATTTACGTCAAAAAGGTTTCCTCAAACCCGCTCTCCCGCTGGCCATTTCCCAAAAATTCATTCGCGCAAATCAAATTCCACCGCAATACCTTGTTGTCCGGCCCCTTTCACACATTGTACTACGCTACCTGGGGGGCGCAAATTAGCGATGGGAGGGGGAAGAAGACACGCGCGCGTGTTTGACACCCCTCCATAAATCCGCTCATTTTCTATGGAAATGCGCGGCCGAAATTGGATTAATTAGGGGTTTTGCGTGGATGGCGGAGGGGCTTGAATCGGAATTGAGGTGAGACCGGAAAGTAGGGGAAAACTTAATAGTTTAGTCAGAAGGTAGAACACAAGATGAGCAACTTTTTTAGATACCGTACCACCTTCAGCGCCTATCAACTGGACGAGCTGGAAAAAGTCTTTGGCCGTACACACTATCCGGATGTGTTCACTAGGTTGGTTTTCCTGGAAGACGAAAAGGGCAGGCTAGCAGAACCTTTTGGTAGTACTGGTTCCAACTTTTGAAAGGTGTAATCTATGCAATTGTTAATAGCATGATCTCATTTCCTCACTTTTTTCATTAATATGATCCGATTACGCAATCTATTTACCCCACACCCTGTGGATGTGGCTTCATAAGGCGCTAATTGGCAAATAGAAAGGTCAATGATCCAATCTATCCCCCCCCGGATAAGACCAGCGGATTTTATTGCGTAGACATTTTTTGTCGTGGGGTTAATATGAAAGATTACGTCCGGAGCTACGATAGCCGAGTCTAGCCCATAAATTAACGTCCAACTTGTGTGTGATATAATCCGATATTCAGCGCTTTTGGAAGGCCCGAGCGGGAAATATTGCCGGGCGGAAATGGGGAATTAGGAGTGGAAAGAGGTGTCAGACGAAAAATGGGTGAGAAGTTCCGGTTACCGCTTTTGGACGGGGTAAATAGGTATATTAATGGGATGCTAGCCGTACTTTCCTTTTTTAGAAGATAGCAGAAAATTATATAGCTTCCTATTAATACGTTTGGACCTCCGCAATACTTACAAAACCTGATAATCGCATCATAAACGGATTTTTGCTTGATTCTTTGAAAAAAGCTTAGCAGGATGTTTTAGGAGTTCTATTAAGACGTCAAATACCCCTGTTTAATATCTGAAATAAAAATCGATGAAACCCAGGCAAGATTTAAGTGTCGATTATACCATTAACCACCCTCCCCATCTCAAATTACCCCCAGTCGCAATCACAAAGCCGTCGGCGGCGGAAGCCCCGGCACCTGGGCGATAATTGACAAATAGGCATCGGGTTACCGTATCCCACATCGCGTCCATTTGCCCCAATTGCCTGTCATCCATACCGCTTTCACGTCCCCGTCCAAAGGAGCGCCGCGTTGCCCCCGGCATCCACCACGCGCCAATTCACGGCTCGACGAAAATGAGATAATGCTCGCTAATTGAGCTGGCAATCTAGCAGTGATCATTTGAGAAATTTTCTAGCTGATTTTCGATCGTTGTCCGCATCATCACACAAACAGCCCCTAGCGCTTGTTAGCAGCCACTCAAAAATACCCGCGTTTCCCCCGGAATGCACCTAAATCCCTCCCCCCAAGGGGCTTCCCGACATTTCATTTCACAGCAAAAATTGTGGGAATGAAAATTGTTGGTCTCAATCAGGGGGAAGGTGTCTGATGCGTCGTGTTTAAATATAATGGGATTAGGGGTAGGGAATTGAACTCGGAAACCTTTTTCATAATCCGGAGGGTGCTGGAGGCACGTTGCGCACTCAAGGGAGAGAAAGCCTGGATTGGATTCGGAAATTGACTAGAATATATTAGAGGGTGAAGTCGTTTTCATGGGGAAAACGAAGCATTAAAACTTTTTTGAATTTTTCGATATTGAGTGGCTGATTTTGGTGATTTGCCAAAAGTACGATTAGAATATTTTTGCCTTCTAGCCTTGGAAAGATTAACCTTAAATATATTTAAGCACTTGCTAGCGTAAATTAGTTAATTTTTGTCGACGCGCTGAGGAGGTAAACAATGAATTTTCGACTTCACCGTCCCTTTAAGCCCAAAAAGCGGCTTCTTTGGACCATTTCCCGCTCAATATTCCAATAACCAACCATATCCACGAATATGGCCCACCCCAAATATGGCCCACCGACAATTAGCCAGCTAATTGGCCCAAAAGCGCCCGGTCTCTCTCTCTCTCTCTCTCTCTCGCACGGAAATGGTGGTGTCGGCTTGCCAAAAGCCCCCCATCGGGACACACGCACATTGAGAGAGACCCCCACCTGTCGAATGGCACCAATTTTAGCAGAACCAGGACCCCCCAAATTGGCATGATGGAATAAATGGAATAACCCGAAAAGGGGCCAAGATTTGTAGACTGGCGATTAATTTGCGACAGCCTGGATCGAACTGGTTCCTGTGTGGGGGTCGTGATTTAAGGTGGTAGCTAGATTTTTGGATTTGAATCGGGGATTGAGGATTGACTTGGCAGTACGTTTGGCTACTCTAGTACGTTTATATCCAAATCGGTTAAATTATGATTTAGCCAGGCCCTTTAAGAGGAGTATCGTACCTAAACGGTTCGCCGCCGCTTGGGGGTTTTGGTCGTCACTTGGCTTCACTATCCCTTTAGCAATCGTACCAAATCGGTTTGAAGTTCGAGCCGCACGTGGTCAAAATTTCCAGCAACCCGACTTCAATATTCTTTTAATTACCGTACCCCGACCGCGCGTAGGTTCGAAACTGGGGGTAGGCTAAGTTTAGAATCCCCGTGAAAACCACCTGTGTTTTCCGTACCGGATTACGCACACTCACGCCAAAACACCTGCCAACTAATTTGTTCTAGCACGCGCTAAATTGCGAGATCCTAGACTTTTCCTGCCCCGGGGGAAAAGGTATGCTAGTGTACTCGCTGAAACCCAAAACTTCAAAATTGACGACGATTTTTTGCCATACGGTAACTCCCAATCTGGTGCCCTGGTCCTTTGATTTGCCTAAAACATATTTTGATCTTAGCAGCCGTCTAGGGGCCTTGATAGCTCAAATTAGTGCGTAAAAATCCCGGGAATCGTGGTCGCGTAATCCCACGTACAGCAGCACGCCTTATTTCTGAGCCTTCTAAACCGCTAATTTCGTTCATTAGACCCTCCAGGCGGCTTCTCATTAGGCCCCGGCCAGCCAGGTATAAGTCTATCTATCTGTGTGTCTCTCTCTCTGTCTGTCTGTCTCTCTCTCTCTCTCTCTCTATCTCTGCCCCTAATTAGCCATCCATTGGCCAGGCCGGGCCATAGACACGTGTGGGGGTAGCGGGCCGCCGGGTTACCTGGGGATATCGCATATTATGCATAATTTTCGGGGGTGCCCGATAGCCTGGTCGTCGTGGTGGGACCACCCGGTTCGCTTCGCTCTTTGGTTCGCTCAATTGCCCCCAAATCGGTGCATACGATTTGCGGTCCGGGGCTGCGTTGAAGGGGTGGCAATGTGAGGGGTCAGAAGCGAAAATAGATGGCTATAGAAGATCGTTGTTAAACGGAATTCGGATGCTAGCTAACTGTAAAGTGTTTTTACTCAGGCTGGCGTTTTGGAATGGGACCAAGACTACCTTGTTCAGAATTTTTTGCTGATTCCGAATCCGTTTTCCAAATTTGCTGCGGACTTCGCGTTGAAAAGTCATTTTTGGTCTAAATTAAGCTTAAAAACGGCATAAATTCGGATGCTGGCCCACTATTCCCTGTCTTGGTCCAGGATTCTTGTCCCCCTTATCTACCCTCCGGAAGCCCCGTTCTCAGTTGGCACCATGGTGCATCGGTAGGCTGTTCGCTTGCCAGGCACAGGGCGGTGGTTCAAACCCCGCCCTTCACAATTTCTTTTGCTTTTTGCGCAAAAACACCTGATTTTTTGCATAAAATCGTGCTTTGACCTCTAAAACCGTTATCGAGCCAGTTTTAACGTCGGAGGTGACGACAACTTAAAAAAATAACGCAAAAAATCCAGATTTAGTCAATTTTTTAGTATAAATGTCGAATAACTTTTTAAATAAAGGTCGGCAGCAAATTTGGAAACCAGATTCGGAATCAGCGAAAAATTCTGCACAAGATAAGCTTGGTCCCATTCGAAAAAGCCAGCCTGAGTAAAAACACTTTACAGTAAGGCTTAGGAAATGGACTTGGGCTCGGACTTAGGTTTGGATTCAAATTGGCTTGGCCCAGGCTAAGACTTTGGCTTAGGCCTAGCTTTGGGCTTTGCTTAGTCCTAGGCTTATGTTAGACTTACTGGTTGTCCCAAAAAAAAGCACCCCCCTCTAGCGGTCCGAGGGAAGCTCAGATCGGGATAATTTTTAAACCATTCGAAAGCGCTCGGAAAAGGAAAAACAAGCGGGATTTATTTTATGAGATTTATTTTTATACGCTGGATATTCAACGCTTTTCTAAAAATCAGGTAGATTTTCAATAGGAATTTCGCGATTAGCATGCAGATCTCGCGTAAATCTGCCGTTTCATGGTTTTCGGACGTCAAATTTGCTAATAAAAATAGATAATAAAAAAATGAACCCTCCTTGTTTTCTCGCCTTTTCAAGAGCTTTCGATAGATACCTAAACGATAAAAATCGGACACGACTGCGCGCCGCTAGAGGGGGGGGGGTTTTTTGGGACACCCTGTACTACGATAAATCCATCAAAGGTAGGTATGCGACATAAGCACCATAGACAGACGAAACCCCTTAAAATCCATCACGACACTTTTTTAACACCCGCCGAAACTACGGTACCCAGTGTAGTGAAATTACGCACTAATATGCTCTAATCTCCCCGCCGACTCATGTCTAGCCGGAGCGTGAACACACCCTGTTTTCACGCGCGCACACATCCCTCAATAATTGGAACCAGAGCTCGAAATCGGGGAAACCGTACAACAGGGTACAAGTTATCGGAATACCGAAATGAAAGTAACCCGTGAATTTTCAGGGAGGAACTTGCTGCACGCGTCAACTTGACTGAAGCCAGAGTGCAGGTAAGAGAAATTTAACTTCATAGAGCCTTTCAATCAAAACTGGTGTCGTAAGCGGATGCTCGCATAATTTTTAAAGGTACTGATTAGGGTCTAAGCTAGGTCAATTGCCTGTCGACACCGAGCCCACGAAATATCAAAAAATGGACAACGCTTTCCAGCCCCTTTAAAGCCAACTTAAAGGTACACTAAATAAGGTAAGGGTTCGGTTTTGCTCCACGGCGAGCGCCTACCGTAACCCTGTTTGCTCCCCCGCGGACGGTTATCGGCTGGTAAAAATCAACGAGACGTTAGTGTACCTTTAAACTGTTTCATCCCCACGATCTCGCTAGAGTAATACCTCGCAGGTGCACCCCCATCATTCCCAAGCCCTTAAATCAGAGCAATTAGTGGGGATTGAGGTTCTCTCTCTCCCTCCCTCCATCCCGGTTCTCATCATCAATTTGTCCAATCGACACTCATTAGCCCCCATAGCGCAATGCATCGGATCAGTCCCCCAATCCCTCCTTGATCGCTATCTCGTTCCGGTAATGACCGATTTGAGACCAAACGGAATTTTGCGGGCCGTGCTATGCTAAGGGCGCTGATTTTGGGGCACAAGGCAGCAAGCTAAATCAACAATTACCGACTCATTTTCTAGGTGTGGTTCCAAAACCGTCGCGCCAAGTTCCGCAAGCAAGAGCGCACTTCTCACCATCCGTACGCCCATCCGGGAGCTGGTGGACCATTTGGGGCGGCCAACCCAAGCTTTGCTGAGGTAAATTTAGGATGAAAAACGCATTTTTTTTGGATATCTGTGTCTATTGCTTTCTCTCTCTCTCTCTCTCTCGCTCTCTCTCTCTCTCTCTCTTTCAATACCAAATAAGAAAGTACCGTATTCCCCAGTTGCAGGCGCAACTTTCGTTCCTGGCCCAACACCAGGATGCCGCCCAACTTTTCGCCGCGTTGCAGCATCAGCAGCTTGGTAACTTCTTAAACCTTATTAGATTTCTTAAAGTTGTATCGTGTTCAACGATTTTATTAACCTCTCTTTTTCCAGAATCGATGCTCCCCCTCCTCCCGGCCGGCTTGGCCCCCGCGGTCATCAGCCGTAGCCCATCCTCCCCCCGCACTGAGGGCCCATCTCCGACCAGCCCCGCGCCACCTTCACTGCTTCCGAACCTTCCGCTACCATTGGTGCCTACAACCACTGCCGCGGACATGAACCCGCTGCGCAACTTGTTGATGGCCGGTGGGTTGCCGGGGATGCCCGGACCCGCGGCTATGATCTACATGCAACAGATGGCGGAAGCGCTGAAGTCGCTTGGAGGTGAGCAGATTTTCGACTTTTTTGAGGGTAGAACTTTTTGTGGGTTCTGAATATAATGTTAGTTTCTATCATGAGACCTTAATTTTTAAGGTTTAGCACGTTTTTGTAGGTCCAAAAAATCCAAAAACTCGAAGGCTTTTCCTAATTTGCTTCTTTTTAGTGCCAAGCAGCCTTGGCATGATGTTCCCCGGATTGCCGCAACCAAGACTTTCCACGGAATCTCCAGAATCCCCGAAATCACCGCCCTCCTTGGTGATCCCCGACCTGGCCGCCATCCTCGCCAAGGCCAACGAAGCGGCCATGTCGGCCCCCGCCGCCCAAACATCGCCCCGGCCACCACAGTCGCCTGCAGTAAAGGAAGAATCCGACGAACCTCAGGACAATTTGCAATAGAATTGCTTTTCGAAAAATTGCATTTTAATTTGTTTTTTCTGTTTTCGACGATTTTCTAGACATAGGCATACAAAAACTAATTTAATTTTGGTCCTCGGCGATGTTTTCCCCCTTTGCATTCCTTTTTATATGTAGCATCATTGTATTTGTGATTTTGTCTCTTGATTGGCAATATTTTTGCAGTAAATACCATTTGAACTTAAGACACGTTTCTTATAGTTTTTTGATCGACTCCGCCCGGTTGTCATCTTGTCACCCACCGAGAACTCTCCCCTCGACGCTCTGGCAATACAGCTTTACTTTTCGATATTTCCGCGTATTTTTATATTTGCTACATTAAAATTTACCCAAATTTCGATCCCTAGAACGTTTTTCGAGCTTTACATCGAACCCTCGCGAGGCCAAATTTTCACGCAGTTCCTTTATGCAACGGTGGATCTCCTCATAAAAATAAATTTTTGAAAAAATTCCTTTATTTTTCCAAGTTCATTCTTGCTGCTTGTCCATCTGCTTTCCCTTGGATCTGAATACTTATGGAGGGAAATTTACATTATTGAAAAACCCTTATTTTTGCACATCGTGGCTGCCCGTTGATAATTTGCTTTGATACTTCGTATCTATGACTGTAATTTTTTGGTGTGTGTGCATTTTTCGGCTTGTGAATACTTAACTGCTAGTGGGATGGACTTTTCGATTTGGTATAATTTTACTCTGCTAACTCTACCCCTTCGCTTGCAATAAAAATTCAATTAGAAGCGAATTTTTGGAAACCGCGTCATATTGAATAGGCACACTATTGATCGGCAATTTTCCATATTTTCGGTGTTATAAGCTTTTCTTTATTTAGTTTTCAAATATTTAATTCATATAGCCTTAAATATTTTAAAATGACATTTAAAAAAATACATTTTTCAATATTCGTGCCAAAGCTATTGAAATCCTTAGTATTATGTCTACCACTTATTTCTTGACTGGTGCAAAAAATTCTCCCAGTCTGCAACTGAACCTTATAACTGTGGTCACTATCTTTAAATAATAAATTGCTAGTTGTCTGCCAGGAATTGACATTGAAATATCCAAACAAATGTGTTCCGTGGCTTTCGGGTTGGATCTGCTGATTAGTGCACATTAATGTAAAGATTACATGCGTGATTTTCAACACTTTATTATGCAATTGTTGTCACCACCTTTGACGTCCTGGTCGCTTTCCTAAAAATGGCTTTCCGAAGCAGCGATTGTAATTCAGTTGAGTGCCAAATCCAAATCCACAGCGTTGGTAGGGATATAAAATTGAGAAAAACACCCATTAATAGCTAAAAATTCTCTCCTTCTGTTTCATCGAAATGCTTACATGAATGATGTCTCTCAGGGCGTCGCCGGCATACAGAAAAAAAATTTATGATCTAAAAATTCAGCATAACCTTTGTGTGGATGGCAGACCGCGGCCGAGATGTAGAGCAGAGTGAACGTACATGCATAGAGACTGACGAAGCACAACTTTCGCTCGGCCTGGGATTCGATTTGGTTTTTTTAGGTTAGATCTCGATTTTCCAAACGCTCCCATTGACGGCTAGTTAAACCGATTGCTATTCTTTATCACGCGTTTGATAGCGCATTCCGAGCTCTTCATTTTGATGCCCTACATGCCCCCATAACTTATCAAAAGTTCCATTATTTTCGTCGTCAAAGTTTTTTACTTTTTCAAAAATGTTCAAAAAATTTTAACGACCGGCTGGTCATCAAAAATCTGAAAAACAACTTGTGTTATTTCTTTATACCCAGTATATTTAAGTATTCTGACCAGGTAACAATGGCCCACATGATTCCGCGGTGTTCGTGAGTAGGATGGCGGATAGTGCGCCGGACGGTGGGGGAGCAGGAACACATGGGAAGGGTGGGGCGCGGAATAGGCGGCGAAAGAGCGAGACTAGACTATAGCGCACGGCGGAAGAGAACAGGGGGCGGGGCCAGAGCGCCGATTCTCCCTTCCCCTGTATGCCTGCCATCCTGTCCCGGTCAAACGAACACAACTGGTAAAGGGCGGAATGCTGTGGGCCCAATTCGTTTCCGTTCGTGAGCTATTTCAGCGCAAACCTCACTTTGTTTGCATAACCCTGTATAGAAAACCTAAGAATCCCTGCTTACCGTAGACACCAAACGACCAGTCGTCAAGAGCTGACCCTGTCTCAAAGCGAACAGCTTGATCACGACTAAAAGATTGAAAACGGAGCTCATGACTGTCCAGGTCAGCAGGATCAGCAGATTCCAAACAGCTACTTTCAGGCCGAGCTTAAAAAGTAATTGGCGACGTGACTCCACAGCTTACAAAATAAGTTTCCCCGGCATACAATGCCCACATTGACGGTCCAAGTTGGTGATAATATGTTTCAGGGAAGGCCATGCAAAGGGCCGCTCCAGTAGAAATTGAAAAAGCGGCCGATAATAGCCGAAGTGTATTGTCGCCCCAGAACTAAAGAATCATTATTTATTGTTGCGGCTTGGCTACGCCATACCGGGTGTCCCAAAAAAACGAACCATCTGACATTTTGCCGTGTTACATCCCATCGGCCCCAAACTTGGAGCAGCGGTGTATACCATAAGTAACAACAATACTGACCTATAGCCCTGTAGCTATAGTGGTTTTTGAGTTATCGCAAAAACAAACTTTATTTTCGATTTTTCTTAGGGTTTCCGTGGGATTCGACCCCCTAAATGTTAAGCAAAAACGATTCGGCAAACTTTCTTCACCTTAAGAAATTTTTTTCGGACTAAAATTTATTAAAAACGGGTCGATTTAAGCGATTTTTACAACGCCAAATTACTCCAGATCTTAAGCGAAATTAGGGATTTGCAGCCGCCAGTCGATGCAAAATGATGCAAAGTCCAAAAGGATAGCCGAAAACCCTGTTCAGAATTCCGTGAAAAACAGTGTTTTTCGTTATAACTCAAGAACGACTGTAGCTATGGGGCTTTAAGTCAGGATTGCTGTTATTTAGGGTCCGATACACCTCTGCTCCGAATTGGGGACCGATTGGATGCAACACGGATACACATCCAACGCCGCCTTGGTGCGGCTACGGTGCGAGTGTTTAAATTTAAGCCACTAACCTGGTCAACCCTCCCAAACGGCCAATACACAGCTGTATAACGATTAAACGAGATCAAACACGCGCAAGTAAATTGGAAATGGCGCGTCAGATTTTGCAGGAAAGTGAAGAAATGTGGCACGAAACCCTCCTGCAATTTTTGCTAGTTGAGCCCGATTCTCGTTCACCTGAATGTGTGAATAGAAGCTGACAAGACCCCAGAAAGCAATATCCCAAGCGATCGTATCTGTCAGAATATTTATCATATCCTAAAGAATTTTTAAGAACGTGCTCCGCTAGCTTACCGACACTACGAGACACAGACACAGCTTCTCGAACGCCGTCCGCAACGCGAGAGACTGACGGTGAAATTGCACGAATATCACTATTAAAATGGCAAGTGTCGGGATGGTTGCGATGGCTAGAATCATATCCTTCACGATCCAATCCCAGTTCATCAAAATCGTGCTTATCGAATGGAGATTTGGCGAAAATCGTAGACCATTTGTGCGGGGAAAATAATCAAATACGGAGTGAATGGATGTCCTATCAAAAAAGATGTGGCGAGAAATACTAAAACATTCTCGGAAGTAATGCATAGTAAATAAAATAGGGTGATTTTTACCCGTTAGCCGTGCGGTGGGCAAAGGTGTACTTTGTAGTTGTTCCGTTCGTGATTCATGAGCTAATTGTAAGCTCAGTTTTGGTTACCTGATTCGCTCTGGTACACCCCAAATTTCGATGAATCCAAGAGTATTCATTTTTATCGTTTTATACATTGAATCCATGCACCCCCGATAGCTACCCCTGTTTGTTGTGACAAGAAGCCGTCATTTCGAGCCCGCAAACAACTAGCAAAAACAGCTGATAGCGAGTACATCACAGGCCCCCCTTGATTGGAACGCCATATTTTTTTATTCGCTCAAAAAAAATGTTCTTGCTTTTACTGACGTCGTTAGTACTTTCGTATGCTTTTTACCAATATTTAATTGCTAGAAGGTTACCGCCAGGTAGGAATTTAGTCAAAATTGGGACCAATAAAAAAACATGGTTCAGGCCCGATCCCAATTTTACTCCTCGGAAATCTTCCGCATCTCTTCTGGTACTGTCGCAAACTTGGGAATTTTGCGTTAGCTATGCGTGAAATGCAGAAAAGATATGGGGATGTAAGATTTTTCGAGTTAACGATACAATTATTGATTCCTAGGTCCACACACTATGGATCGGCCCGATGCCTTTCGTTAATATATGTACTTACGAAAAAGCCAAAGATTTGATGGTGGTGCAGGCAAACTAGCTGAGATCTTTTAGGTAGCTGCGAAAATTTAGGGTCACACACAACTTGGACGCTACATGGCCCCATTTGCAACATTAGCAGAAATCGGTAGATTTTTCTAAAAAGTTAATTTCACTGATTTTTAGACGATAAGGGAAAAATTTGGGGTATCGTCTCAAGCACTGGCGAGACATGGAGTGAACATCGGTTTCTTTTATTTCCTCGGATTTACTTATTTATATCGTTACAGCAATTTTGCGATAAAGACACTGAAACAATTTGGTATGGGAAACAACCTGATGGAAAATCGAATCATAGAAGGTAGGGTTAGAAGTATATAACCTCGATTTCGAACGTAGAATTCAACCTGCGATGTGATGAATTGGAAAAGGAGAGAGCTGGTGATAGATTTCGCACGACAGCCGAGGAATTTACCGAATTGTTGATTGGCAATTTAATTAGCAACTTGTTGTTTGGTTTCCGGTTTGATAATCCGGTAAAAAAAATGGTTTTTTTAATTGATCTGAGGTTTAGGAGCGCCGCCAAGATTTCTTGAAGCGCAAGCATCAAATGGCAGCTAATGCCCGCCATTTGAGTCCCATTGATTTTTTGGTGTGCCCATGGTGGAAATATGT